GGACTCGCCGCATTCTGAGGAGCTCAGAACAAGGGAAGAAACTTCTGCACACCATGCCCAGCAACCCCAGACCTGCCAGAATGTACGGCCTGCCAAAGACTCACAAGCCTGGTATCCCACTGAGGCCCATATCCTCGGGAATAGGCAGTGCTCCCCACAAGCTCTCAGGAATTCTCGCCAAACACCTCTCGAAACTCTTGGGCACTATCAGTCCAGCACATCTCAGACACTCAGGTGATCTTCTCAATCGCATTCGCAACATCAACATCAGGAACAAGAAACTTTCCAGCCTTGACGTGACTTCCCTATTCACTAAAGTACCTACTAAACAAGCCATCGATCTCTTGCGCAAGAAAATTGACGATTCACTTGATCTTCCCATTCCAGCCAGCGACTTCATCGACCTGGTTGAACTATGTGTTGGCTTTACGTGTTTCTCTTTTGAAAATCACCTCTTTCAGCAGACTTTTGGACTACCCATGGGTTCGCCACTCAGTGCAGTCCTAGCGAACCTATACATGGAACATCTAGAAGCCGAACGTTTCTCCACCATTATTCCTTCGTCTGTCACCTGGCTCCGTTATGTTGACGACATTCTCCTCATAACTCCTAAACGCTTCAACGTTCAAGCTCTCCAAGACAAGCTCAACCAGGTCGAGCCTTCAATCCAGTTCACACTTGAAGAAGAGGTCGACAACACTCTTCCTTTCCTTGATGTTCTACTCTGCAAAGCTGACCACGAACTTCGTTTTAAAGTCTATCGAAAACCCACCAACCAAAACGATCTTCTCCACTTCTACTCTCACCACGACACCAAAACCAAACGTGGTGTAATTATAGGCTTCTTCCTGCGTGCACTCAGAATCTGCAGCAACGAGTTCCTTGAGGAAGAATGCACTATAATTGAACAGGTATTTTCCAAACTCCACTATCCTCGTCACTTCATCAGAGACTGCAGACGGCGAGCACTAAACATCTTCAACACACCCAGAGAAGACACTGCCGAGAAGAGATACATAGTCCTTCCCACCAACTCCATTGTCAAACATGTTTCCAACATCTTTGCCAAAACATCATTCCAAGTATCTACCTCCACAACCACGACCATCAAGGACATCACCAGTAGTAGGCAGGACAAGCCTCCATCCTCTGCAGGGGTATACATAATCCCTTGTAATGACTGCAACAAGTTATACGTGGGCGAAACATCAAGGGACCTCCAAACACGTATTTCAGAACACCAATACGCAAGCAGGTCTGACGACACAAGGAATGCCTGCGTACAACACCGTAATTCACACAACCACTTGATAAACTACAGAAACTCAAGACTTATCGCCACAGAAGACAACACTCAATACCGAAGAATCCTGGAATCATCACTTATTTCTATATCCGACAACTTCAACCAGAATAGTGGCTTCTATAACATAGCTGAACCACTTGCCAAGAAACTTCTTCATCGCTATCCCCACATAAGAACACTGTAGAAGGTCTGCTCACAAACTTGTCCAGTCTCCTTTCCAAGCTACCCAAGTTTTTAGACTCTACAACCCAACTCGGTACATCATCAGATGCAACATTCTTCACCTGACCTCAGCCGGACTATAAATACTCGCGTTCCTTCCACCCCAGGTAGTTCTGTTTGTGACTTGAAAAAGCCCACTGTGTGGGCGAAACGTAGTCAATAAAGGATCACATTATACTGCATTTGTGTTTATATTGCCATTGTGTCGGTATTTTATACCATTTATTTCCAACATACAGAGGTAGAAAGACATTATATATATAGGCGGAGAGTGAGATGTGACGCACGTGACCTGAGGTGACCTCAGGTCACGTGCGTCACATCTCACTCTCCGCCTATATATATAATGTCTTTCTACCTCTGTATGTTAGAAGTGATCAAGGTCCCAGGACCGAAACGTTTTCTAATAAATATGTTATAGTGTTTGCTTACGTGTCTTTCTAAACCAATAATAATAATAATAATAATAATAATAATTCTGAAAGCAATTTTAATATTGCTACACCTGATTTAACTGTCTTTTTCTCGCACATTTTGCAATTATAATGAGGCAGGTATTAAACCCGGAGTACTGAGATAGGATCAGGAAGAAAGAAGAGATGAAATGGTTTATTTTTAATCCCTGAGTTTTTTTTTAAGTTACCTGGGGTTGGATTCCTTATGAGGCGGCTCACAGGAACTCGTTAGTCGTCTTAACACTGATAACATCTTGGCCAAGGTCGACTCTTTCAACTTATCTTTTATTAACATTATTATTATTATTATTATTATTATTATTATTATTATTATTAATAGCAGTAGTAGTAGTATCACCATTATTATTATTACACTTATTAATTTTATTATTAAAATTATTATTAATTGTATTATTATTATATTATTATTACCATTATTATTATTATTATTATTATTATTATTATTATTATTATTATTATTATTATTATTATTATTATTATTATTATTAAATATGAACTGTTCTATTTTTCACTGTATCTTAAATATTGGAGATCCAGGTCCCAAATCCACAGAAAAATAGTATTTTGAGAGAGGTATTATACAGAAGGTAGTTTCAAATTTAGGTTGGATAAGTACATGAGTGGGAGGAGTTGGATTTGAGTGGGACTTTCACATCAGAGCTTATTTCTTGGGTGGCATTGAAAATTGGGTTGGTCAAATGTTTTGTTAGTGGGATGAATTGTAAAGGACCTGCCTAGTATGGGCCAACAGGCCTGCTGCAGTGTTCCTCCTTTCTTATGTTCTTATGTTAAGAGCGACCCACAAAGGTGCCAATGGTTGGATATAAGAGAGTGAACCAACTACTGGAACAAGTGGGGACTGGAATTTATGGCATATGTGTCCTAAAAGTCACATAGATTCAGTCTCCTTGATTTGTGAGTCGTGAGAGCAAATTCCTGCCATATATCATGTGTGTTGAGGAAAATACTGATAGCTTCTCTTCGGGAGGGAAGTGTAGGTCAATGTGTGTCATACCTGGTGGGTCTCCCTTTCCCCTCAGAGCAGGTTCCTTGATGTTGGTGACGGGCTCTTGATTTAAGGATTTGTGCTCCAGTTCTTTGAATTAAGCCTGGATGTCTTCCATTCCCTGAGGCATTGTATGACTCCTGTGGGTTTACTGATCCTCCCCATGAATGTAATAACCTGGAAGGTGTATTCCGCGGGGGTCAACGCCCCCGCGACCCAGTCTGTGGCCAGGCCTCCTGGTGGATCAGCGTCTGAGCAACCAGGCTGTTAGTGCTGGCTGCACGTAAACTGACGTATGAACCACAGCTGATCAGGTACTGACTTTAGGTGCCTGTCCAACTCCTTAAAGGCAGCCAAGGGTCTAAGACCCACCACCAGTCTGCTAACACCCAGGTACATACTTACTGCTAGGTATCTTAAGGAAACACGTCCTAATGTTCCCAGCTGTACCGGGGATCGAACCACAGACCTCAATAAGCGAGCTGAGTGAAGTACCAATCGAACTACAGGACCTGTTGTAACTTTGGAAATGTTCATGCAGTTATTGGCATGTGCAAACGACCTCTGGTCAATTATATAGGGACCAATTTTCGATTTCGTTTCCTTGCAATAATTAGAGTGAGCTAGCGCACTCAGCTTACACACTGAGGTCCGGGGATCGAATCCCCGGTACGGCTGGAAAACATTAGGACGTGTTTCCTTAAGACACCTGTTGTCCCTGTTCACCCATCAGTATAAAATGGGTACCTGGGTGTTAGTGGACTGGTGTGGGTCGCATCCTGGGACAAAATTGACAAAATTTGCCCGAAACGCTCTGCATAACAAGCGGCTTTCTATATAGTAGTATGTGGAAATATAAACACAAATGCAGTATAATGTGATCCTTTATTGACAACGTTTCACCCACGCAGTGGGCTTTTTCAAGTCACACACGGATCTACCTGGGGTTGGAAGGTACGGGAGTATTTGTAGTTCAGAACGTTGAGGTCAGGTGAAGATTGCTGCATCAGATGATCTACCGGGTGGGGTTGTAGAGTCTTGGGTAGCTAGGCGGGGATATTGGACAAGTTGTGAGTAGACCTTCTGCAGTGTTCTATGTTCTTATGTGGGATAGCGATGAAGAAGTTTCTTGGCGAGTGGTTCAGCTATGTTATAGAAGCCATTGTTCTGGTTGAAATTGTTGGTTATAGAGATAAACCAACAATTTCAACCAGAACAATGGCTTCTATAACATAGCTGAACCACTCGCCAAGAAACTTCTTCATCGCTATCCCACATAAGAACATAGAACACTGCAGAAGGTCTACTCACAACTTGTCCAATATCCCCGCCTAGCTACCCAAGACTCTACAACCCCACCCGGTAGATCATCTGATGCAGCAATCTTCACCTGACCTCAACGTTCTGAACTATAAATACTCCCGTACCTTCCAACCCCAGGTAGATCCGTGTGTGACTTGAAAAAGCCCACTGCGTGGGTGAAACGTTGTCAATAAAGGATCACATTATACTGCATTTGTGTTTATATTTCCATTGTGTCGGTATTTTATACCATTTATTTCCATAGTAGTATGTCATTGATGTCAGCTATGGTCTGTATACCTTGTACATGTACTGTACATGTGGGAATAAATATATTAAAAAAATTAAGACTAGTGTATCTTAACCTTAGAGGATTAGGATTGCAAGTGGAAAATGTAGATGCCAATTTGATCAATTTATTTTTAAAATAGGGAATCTTTGTAGCTTTTGTAGATGCAAATCTGCCAATTTTCTAACATAATATTAAAAAATCGCGAATAGTGTACGATAAATGTACTTATGTGTACCTGTACCTGAATTAACTTACATAAAGGGAAGGTAAGTATAAGTATAAGTTTAAGGATCACAATGGAAATAAGTCACTAATTTTTCTGGGTTATCCAAGGTTCTCTATACATATGTTGCTATGTATGATTATGTAAGTGTATATATGTATACGTGAATAAAGTGAGAGTGAGTGTAAACAAAGATGGCTGACACAGAGAGCAGCTGCACCTCTGTGGGTGACCGTACTGAAGACCTGGTGTCCCCCACCAGGGACGCCCTTGTGGACGGCATCGTGGGTCTCCTCAAGCCCTGTCTTGACCAGCTGGATGACAGGGTCCGTGCCACCAGGTAATGTGACTCCTCTGGTCCTGGACCTGGTCTGTGTCACTTGGTAATTCCTAATGTGGTTCTGAGTAAGTTTATTCAGGTACAGGTTTACATAAATACAACCTTGACTGTGTCACCTGGACTGTCTGTGTCACCAGGTTATGTCTCCTGTGGTCCTGGACTGTCTGTGTCACCAGGTTATGTCTCCTGTGGTCCTGGACTGTCTGTGTCACCAGGTTATGTCTCCTGTGGTCCTGGACTGTCTGTGTCACCAGGTTATGTCTCCTGTGGTCCTGGACTGTCTGTGTCACCAGGTTATGTCTCCTGTGGTCCTGGACTGTCTGTGTCACCAGGTTATGTCTCCTGTGGTCCTGACTGTCTGTGTCACCAGGTTATGTCTCCTGTGGTCCTGGACTGTCTGTGTCACCAGGTTATGTCTCCTGTGGTCCTGGACTGTCTGTGTCACCAGGTTATGTCTCCTGTGGTCCTGGACTGTCTGTGTCACCAGGTTATGTCTCCTGTGGTCCTGGACTGTCTGTGTTACCAGGTTATGTCTCCTGTGGTCCTGGACTGTCTGTGTCACCAGGTTATGTCTCCTGTGGTCCTGGACTGTCTGTGTCACCAGGTTATGTCTCCTGTGGTCCTGGACTGTCTGTGTCACCAGGTTGTCTCCTGTGGTCCTGGACTGTCTGTGTCACCAGGTTGTCTCCTGTGGTCCTGGACTGTCTGTGCCACCAGGTTGTCTCCTGTGGTCCTGGACTGTCTGTGTCACCAGGTTGTCTCCTGTGGTCCTGGACTGTGTCACCAGGTTATGTCTCCTGTGGTCCTGGACTGTCTGTGTCACCAGGTTATGTCTCCTGTGGTCCTGGACTGTCTGTGTCACCAGGTTGTCTCTCCTGTGGTCCTGGACTGTCTGTGCCACCAGGTTGTCTCCTGTGGTCCTGGACTGTCTGTGTCACCAGGTTGTCTCCTGTGGTCCTGAACTGTCTGTGTCACCAGGTTGTCTCCTGTGGTCCTGGACTGTCTGTGTCACCAGGTTGTCTCCTGTGGTCCTGGACTGTGTCACCAGGTTATGTCTCCTGTGGTCCTGGACTGTCTGTGTTACCAGGTTATGTCTCCTGTGGTCCTGGACTGTCTGTGTCACCAGGTTATGTCTCCTGTGGTCCTGGACTGTCTGTGTCACCAGGTTATGTCTCCTGTGGTCCTGGACTGTCTGTGTCACCAGGTTATGTCTCCTGTGGTCCTGGACTGTCTGTGTCACCAGGTTGTCTCCTGTGGTCCTGGACTGTCTGTGTCACCAGGTTGTCTCCTGTGGTCCTGGACTGTCTGTGCCACCAGGTTGTCTCCTGTGGTCCTGGACTGTCTGTGTCACCAGGTTGTCTCCTGTGGTCCTGAACTGTCTGTGCCACCAGGTTATGTCTCCTGTGGTCCTGGACTGTCTGTGCCACCAGGTTGTGTGTGCTCCTTGTACAGGTCCTTGTGACTGTCTGTGCCACCAGTGTTGTCTCCTGTGGTCCTGGACTGTCTGTGTCACCAGGTTGTCTCCTGTGGTCCTGGACTCTGTGTCACCAGGTTATGTGGACTGTCTGTGCCACCAGGTTATGTCTCCTGTGGTCCTGGACTGTGCCACCAGGTTGTGTCTCCTGTGGTCCTGGACTATGTCACCAGGTTGTCTCCTGTGGTCCTGGACTGTCTGTGTCACCAGGTTATGTCTCCTGTGGTCCTCGACTGTGTCACCAGGTTATGTCTCCTGTGGTCCTGGACTGTCTGTGTCACCAGGTTATGTCTCCTGTGGTCCTGGACTGTCTGTGTCACCAGGTTATGTCTCCTGTGGTCCTGGACTGTCTGTGTCACCAGGTTATGTCTCCTGTGGTCCTGGACTGTGTCACCAGGTTATGTCTCCTGTGGTCCTGGACTGTCTATGTCACCAGGTTGTCTCCTGTGGTCCTGGACTGTCTGTGTCACCAGGTTATGTCTCCTGTGGTCCTGGACTGTGTCACCAGGTTATGTCTCCTGTGGTCCTGGACTGTGTCACCAGGTTATGTCTCCTGTGGTCCTGGACTGTCTGTGTCACCAGGTTATGTCTCCTGTGGTCCTGGACTGTTTTCACCAGGTTATGCTCCTGTGGTCCTGGATGTGTCACACCAGTTATGTCTCCTGTGGTCTGGAATGTGTCATAGTTGTCTCCTGTGGTTATTCTGTGTCACCAGTTGTGTCTCTGTGTTGGATCTGTCTTGCATTAGGCATTGTATGTACCCCTATTGGTTTAAGTCACTACCCATAAGTTATAAAACTCACTTGTTATAGAATGCATTTAGACTGAGTAGAGTTATCCCCTATATAACAGGCTGAGTAAAATATATTAGTGGATCAACTTGCAATGCTTGTAGTAACCAAGCCTAGGCTTGGTTACTACAAGCTTAGGCTTGGTTACTACAAGCTTAGGCTTGGTTACTACAAGCTTAGGCTTGGTTACTACAAGCTTAGGCTTGGTTACTACAAGCTTAGGCTTGGTTACTACAAGCTTAGGCTTGGTTACTACAAGCTTAGGCTTGGTTACTACAAGCTTATGGCTTGGTTTACTACAAGCTTAGGCTTGGTTACAGCTATCTAACCTAGGCTTGTCTACACCTTAGGCTTGGTTACTACAAGCTTAGGCTTGGTTACTACAAGCTTAGGCTTGGTTACTACAAGCTTAGGCCTGGTTACAAATACTTCTGGCTGTTTAGCAGTACACACACACAGATGATGATCAAACCAGCCCTATCTTGAACACTATGTGCTTAATTGTCCACCTATTGAGGAATATAGAGACTAATAATCTATGTATAAGTTTATTTAGGGACAGGTACATATAAACACAGTAATCATAGTGTTAGCTAATTACTTAGGATAGCCCAAAAAAAGTCAGTCACTTATTTCCACTGGGGTCCTTGTATCTTATTAATGAAAATAAGAGCTTGGCTCATGGCTGAGCTCTGGAAGTGCAAAGACTCGAAACTCATCAAAAGTAACAATACCAGATGTATTATGCAAATTTCTTAAATTTGCTTGTAACAGATAAGTGAACAGTAAATATAAATCTGCATGTACTCCTGTAAGCTCTTTTGGGGCCTAGTTCCTAGGCCCCCATATGCTTTTGCACTACCATCCACGGGGTGAATGTGGGATGCACAATAAACTAGCCGCTTCGATGGCAAAATCTAATCCAACCAAAGGAGAAAGAGTTGACAGTCTCGTTAAGTTTTTATTTGATTAAAATCAGCAAATACAAACAAAGCTTCTTTGCTTACTTGCTGACATATTTTTCTGAAGAATAAACTACATTTCAGAGTGAGTCAGAGTGAGCTGCACCAACAGCTAGAGGGACTGGCAGCAGAGTTGGCCCGGGTGCAGGAACAGACCCGGTGTCCTTTACAGCTTGATGCGTATATTAAAAAGTTGCAAAATGCTAAGAGAAGAGTAGTTGTAGTTAACAATATTCTCCAAAACACACAAGTAAGTACAGTACTTTAATATAGTTAATGAAGTTAAATTCCATCATTCTTTAATGATGCCCCTGTTTGTCAGATGAGTTTTTTCAGGTGTTATTTTAAATTAGAGGACCCCACTTTACTATGCTTTCCTTTACAGAGTTTTGCTAATGCAGCAGTTTGAAATTATTCTTAATTTGTTCAGACTTCCTACAATAAATATAGTATTCATAAAAAAATATATTCATCACTCACTATAAGCTAAGGATGAAAATTTTAAGTACAGTAATGTGTGTACAATATATGCATTTTTTAGGTCTAGCTGTATTGCTCACTTAATATGTGATAGTGTAAATGTGTGGCCCGGTGGCCTGGTGGCTAAAGCTCCCGCTTCACACATGGAGGTCCCGGGTTCGATTCCCGGCGGGTGGAAACATTTCGACACGTTTCCTTACACGTAACTGTTGTCCTGTTCACCTAGCAGCAAATAGGTACCTGGGTGTTAGTCGACTGGTGTGGGTCGCATCCTGGGGGACAAGATTAAGGACCCCAATGGAAATAAGTTAGACAGTCCTCGATGACGCACTGACTTTCTTGGGTTATCCTGGGTGGCTAACCCTCCGGGGTTAAAAATCCGAACGAAATCTTATCTTAATCTTATCTTATCTTATCAAGCTTTTATATGCATTTGAAAGTGAAAAAAGTGCTAGATTTCACTTTACAGTGATTTTTGCTTTACAGCAGCAGCCCAGAACCTAACCTGCTGTATAAGCAGGGCTTTCCTATATATCATTGTCCTCTCCTTCACCAGCTTCAGTAAATAAAGTGTTGCATGTGTATATTACTCTCAGGGAGAAAATTTTTGTGATGGTTTTTTAGTGACATATTAGATATCTTGGCAAGGCTTAATACTTGAAGTTTCTTTATGATAAGAGAACCTGTATGTGTGATGAATGGTCTTGTAAACCGACAAGTTGAAGATTGAGACACTTATGCAACATATGGGAATTTTTATTTAGGAAACGTTTCGCCACACAGTGGCTTCATCAAGAGAAATTACATGACTCACACAACGGGTAAGATTTGAACCCACGGTGAGCCAATCCTAAAAGTAGCATGCCAGTGTGCTAACCATTGTATTATGCTGGTTTAATGAACTTCATCCAACTTATTTTTCTTTATACAAGAAAGGTCAACCAGCATGTGCCACACTGGGACCACAGATACAGTGGTACCCCGAGTTTTGGCCATAATTCGTTCCGGAAGGCTGTTTGAGTGCTGTTGCCAAACGAATTTGTTCCCATAAGAAATAATGTAAATTAGATTAGTCCATTTCAGACCCCCAAAAATACACTTACAATAATACACTTACATAAATGTTCGAGTTGGGAGCTGTACGAAACTCTGGGTACCACTTTACCTGTAGTTAGCTGTCTGACTTGCTAGGTAGAAGACTGGCTTATTGTGGATTCAGATCTCACCTGTTCCACAAGTTGTTTATAATCACATTAAGATTTTGCATCAGAAACTTAATGAATATTTTAATACAGTACTGTATATTGTCTGATAATTCTATCCTGCCTTTGTTGCTTAAATTTTAGAAGTTCATTACACAATTTAGCATATTTTTGAAAAGTATTATGTATGAATTTTGTACAATAAAACTATAAAATTTTTTCCTCTATGCATATTTAGTGCAGTGCAATTTTTATAAGGCATTCAAATTATTAATGAGCATGATCTATTATTATTATTATATCCGAGTTGGGTGAAAATATGGGATTTTCAGTTTTGTATACCCAGGCTGTTGTAATGTAGATAGTTTTCAAGATTATCCACAAATAACCCGCACACAGGAGAATGAGCCTTATGATGTTTCAGTCCAAGTTGGACCGAAATGTTTTCATAAATTTCATTCTCCTGTGTGCGGGTTATTTGCGTATTGTTCCAGTCATGGTATTGTGCCCTTTTTATTCCTTAAGGATTATACTCATTTTTTTTTATTTCAGGACCGTCTCAACAAATTACACACTCAGGTTAATAAGGAAAATGCACGTCGTAGAGCTCTGCTAGAAACTACATCCCCCTTGTCAATCACACCCTCAACTTCTCTCCATGCTCCTTAACTGATTTTTCAGTGGCTCTGAAGATATTTCCATAGGCATTTTACCTCTGAATATTATATATCAGGAGTCAGATGTGATGTCTTTATTAACTAGTTAATAATTTAATGTGAGAAAATAATTTAGGTATATTTAAATTAAAATATGGCTTAGATTGTGTATTATCTATGTTTTATACAGTAGTTATTTATTGTAGGTTTTCAGATTTCAATAGGATTTTATGCTCAGATATACACTAGCTGAAGGTTTCCTCGAGTAGGAAACAGAGAGCCAGTATTCTTGAGATTTGGCATTCCAGTACGGTTTTTGTCCTTGGTTAATTTTTCATGTTTATTTTCTGTATAAAGACAATGTACAGTAAACAAGTCTGATTCAAAGACATAGTACTGTGCCTCTAGTCATTTGTCAGTCTCGTGATAGTTGATATTTTTTTAATAGTCTGATTGTATACTTTTGTTGAGGCATTGTTGATAGTTGTTTTGTATACCACTTTATATTATTTTATACATTATCTTTGGTTTTACTTATTAAGACAAATAAAAAGGCTGCATACAGAATGGAAGAGGAATTAATTAATACAATTAAGACTCCAATTTTCTCCCATATTACCTCTGAAGATCTGGACCATATATACGAGCCATCAGAAGATAGTTTCCTACTTATTGATGCTTTAGAAAAGGATTTAGATCTTATTCGCAAAAGCAAACCATTGTTATGTTTGGAAGTTGGTTCAGGTTCAGGTGTCGTGATAACAGCTTTGGGTACTGTTCTAGGGTCCCAGTGTCATTATATAAGTACAGATATCAACCTCCATGCCTGCCGTGTGACCAAAGAGACTGGAAGGCTAAATGGTGTGGATATTAAAGCTGTTTGTACAGATTTAGTGACTGATGTGATGGGTGATGTAAAAGGGGCTGTTGATGTATTGCTTTTCAATCCACCCTACGTTGTCACCCCATCAGAAGAAGTTGGACGAGGGGACTTGGAATACACTTGGGCAGGTGGCGAGTGTGGACGTGAGGTAATGGATAGACTATTTCCAAGTGTAGATAGTCTCTTATCACCTCATGGGATATTTTACTTGCTGGTATTAAAGGAAAATAATCCTGCCGATATTGAGCAGATAATGGCCAAACTTGGATTTACATGTACCTGTGTTATAGCCCGTAGAACTGGTCAGGAGAGCCTCTCTGTATTAAGGTTTTCTCGGCAAAAATGAGTAGAAACTTGTTATTTATTGGAAGTATTCAATTTAAATAAAAATGCAGAGAAATTCTTTTTTGTTTATTTCTTACAGCTTACCAGGAACAAAAATGTTAAATGACCCTTGTTGCAACAGACAGCAGTGCATTTCAGACAAGCACTAGAAATAAGCTATAGTTACCGACTGCTACCTGGTGGAACCTGGGCATTGGTTTACATTTTACAATGCGTAGAACATATGTACACTGAATAAGTAAGTAGTATTTGTGAAAATTATTTGTTAGGTTATTAGTGAAAATAATAATACTTTATTTTGGTTGTGCAACACATCTGAGCCAATCATTGGGTTGATATAGTTTTGTGTAATGTGCTTGTCAAATGTAAACAGAAATGTATATCTACTGATGGCAGAGTAAGGTTTAGTTGCTGAATTCATTAGGTTAGGTTACCATATGCACAACAAAATATCTCTACTGAAAAACCAACTTAATATTGTATAATTCAAACTATAATTAACCCTTAAATGGTTCAAACATATATATACGTTCACCTCCGCAGCGCCCCGAATATTTTGAAAAAAAAAAAAAAAATTATAGAAAAAAAAGAGCATGTGGCACCCAGGCATCCCCATTTTTTTTCATACGGCACACTGAGTGTGCACACCCATTCTCTCATATCTAGGTGACTCAGGCCTATTGCACTAATGTTGAATGAATGAAGAATGAAACATATATACGTTTGGACCGTTTAAGGGTTAATGGCCAAAATCTGCTTTGCAGCAGTCATATATGTACTTGGTTTATGTTGTTGAAATCTATATGAAAATTAGTATTAATAGTAGATTTGCAGTTTGCAAGTTGAGAATATAATAAATATTATGGTATATATATATGGCAATAAAAACAGTGAAATGAGTTTGTTTCTAAGATTAATAAAATTAAATAAATTTTAAATTTTTTTTCATATGAACATGTAGAATTTCAGGCCACTGAAAATTTATGTTCTGTTATTTACATGGTTTCGACATAAATTCACTCCTGAAGGGCAGTGCTTTGATGCTGCTGGGGGCTTTTGAATAGGTTCCCCTCTTATTCAACCCTTTTTCGTGTTCCAAGTTTTTGTTATTTCACTTAATCATTGTTCTTTTGTTTGGCCCTTTTTATGTTTTCCGCTTTTTTTTGACAACTTTTTGAGAAGGGAAAGGGTGCCCAGCGTGGATTTTAAAGGAAAATGTTGTATAACTGTGTTTATTTTATTTTGTTTAGTTATTTTCGGCCTCAGGGTAATCGGGGGGGGGAGTTTCAGATTTTTACTCTCCCAGTTTTCCCTTTGGGTTTTTTGCTTACAGGAACCAAAATTCATCTGCGTTATTTTCCCCCCTCTCAGGCTATAATTTATTGTATTCTTCAGTCCTTTTTCCTGATGGGAAACCTTAATAAAATTCCCTTCTTCTACGCACAAATTTTCCGTACCATCAGCTTTTTGTTCGTACTTCGCTGCATTACACAGCACCCGTATCCACTTCATAGTGGTATAGCCTGTTCTTTATATCTCTCTCCTTCTCGGGCTTTAATCTTTTCCCGGTATTGCCTTTCTTGTTTCCTTCCAAACCCCCCCCCCCCCCATTCTGTTATTTGGTGATTTTAATGCCACCTTTTCCCTTTGGGGGGGGGGTCTCACTGGATTCCCGTGGCATTCAGTAGAGCTTTTTTTGCCACCCACCCCCTCCTGTTTTAAATACGGGTACTGCCCCCATTTTGATCCCGGCCAAACCCTTTTCACCTTTCCCCCCCCCTCTCTTGCATCGATTTTTCAGTTCTCTTCCCCCCGCATTAGACTTCACTTGGTCTTTTTCTTGGACTTACATGACAGCGTCATTTCCCAATCATTCTTACTTCCCCCTTTCATATTCCCCACCTCTTCGCATCCCCCCTGGAAAATTTGATCAGGCAAATTGAACCTTTACTCACACCTAACTTTTTTTTAGAGAGGTTTTTCTTCTTCCTCCATCGATAGCTTTTACCCTCTTTATCCCCCCGTTTTAACCGCAGCTTCAATTCTATCCCCCAAATTTCGGCAGGCATTCTCAGAAATGATCCCTTGGGGGTCTCCTGCTTGTGCTCGTGCCGTGCATACGTTTGAAACCCGCTGCTGGGCAGGGACCCCTACAAAACCACAGAGAGACTTCTTGATTTTAAGCAGAAGCGGTGATCGCTCGCCGTGTCATCCTGACCTAAAGCACTTTTGGCAGATTATGTCTCCACCATCACCTCTGCTTTCCTCTATGATGCGTCTGGAAAAAAGTAAGAAAACTGAGTGGTAAATATTCCTTGCCCGGGTCCTTTCTGCGGGTTGCCCGGGGTTTTATAGCAAAAACCCCCTAATTTGCCATGAAATTGGCAATCACTGGTCCGATTTCTCAGGGACCCATCATTTCCCCCCATTTCTTTCCTCAAAGCGCAAGAGTTGCACCCGGGACTTTTCTTCTCTCAGAGAAAACTATAATGGCCTTTTACACTTTAAAATGGAGGAAAACCTGTTGCCCAAAACATCGGGACCCCCACGAATTTTATTTCGTTGCTTAAACTTTTTCATCAGTCCCCTTGAGTCCTATTACCCTTTTTCAATCTTATTTGGTCACAGGAGATTTTTCCACACTGTGGAAATCCACCATTGTTTTTTTCCCCCCCCCCCTTTTTTCCCCAAACCAGGACTACGGGACTGAAACCTCCCACTATCTCCCATTGCTCTTACCATGCAGTTTGCAAAGTATGGAATGCCTGTAAAAAGACATTTAGTGTGGTATTTAGAGACCACACCTTCCATCGCAATATGGCTTTCGTAAGGGACGTTCTACCATAGACCCCTTATTTACGCTTGGATACGTATGTTCGTAATGCCTTTGCGAATAACCACTCAGTTATTGCCATATTTTTTGACCTTGAGAAGGCATATGACACAACTTGGAGGTATAATATTTTAGCCCAAGCCCACTCCTTAGGCCTTCGAGGCAATCTACCATCCTTAAGAACTTTTTAACTGACAGGCATTTCTGTGTTCGGGTTAATAATGTGCTCTCCCCGGACTTTATCCAAGCTGAAGGTGTCCCCCAGGGATGTGTTTCTGAGCACAACACTTTTTCTCCTTGCAAATTAATGATTTGGCCTCTAGTCTTCCATCAAACATTTGATCATCACTCTATGTTGATGACTTCGCTATTGCCTGTGCAGGCGCTGACTGTCACCTTATTACAATTTCTCTCCAGCATGCAGTCGACCGTGTTTCCAATTGGGCCACCACACGTGGGTTTAAATTTTCCAGCACTTAAACCCACCATCGAAACTTGATTATAGTGACCAGATCTATTCAGCGGCATCTCCTGCTACTCTCTCTAGCCTAAACCCCATTCATCACCAAGGATTTCGTGTAGCCTTGGTGCTTTTCGCTCTCCCCCTGTCGACAGCCTCTATGCAGAAGCGAACGTTCCATCCCTTATCCGATCGCCGTGATGCCCATTGCCTTCGCTACTTTTGTACGCTCTATGAATCTCCGCAATCCTTCCATTTAAAAGAATGGTCACTGATAATAGTAGACATTCTTTATTTGTTCACCGCCCCTGTTTTTCTCCGTCCCTCTCTCTTCGCCTTCAAATTTGCTCTTGTCTTCTCTTCAATTACCACCTTTTATGTACATGTTGCATCTCACTTTTCCCTACCCCCCTGAGAAGTTCCAGCTGTTCGGTCTGTTCTTTCTCTCTCCCTTGCTCGAAAGCCCAACTGTCTACGGGCGCTTCCCGCTCTCTTTTTCTTGACCACTTTCACTCTCATTCTCATGCCATTTTCTGTGTACACAGATGGCTCTAAGTCTTCTGACGGCGTAGGATTCACAGCAATGTTTTCCGGACAGCGTCGTACAAGGGCATTTACTATCTTCGGCTAGTATTTTTACTGCTGAATTGTATGCCATCCTTACAGCACTTATCTGTATTGCATCTATGCCTGTGATCATTTGTGGTTGTCTCAGACTCCCTTAGTGCTTTTCAGGCTATACAGAAATTTGATACACCTCACCCCTTAGTCCTCCGTATCCAACTTTGGCTACGCCGCATCTTTACCAAGCGTAAAGTTTAATGTTTTTTGGGTTGGGCCCCCCCTGGAAAAGGGGTTTGACGTACAGGGCAAATGAACAGGCAACACTGCTGTGGGCCCAGAGTACATGACCAACCCAGTTTCATAAAAGGGGTTTTTCCTTTTAGGGGACTTTTTTTGCTGCAAATTTTCCCACCTTCCCCCCCGTTGGAAACCCAAACGTTGGTCTACAAATGCTCGCAACAAATTTTCAATTTTTTTAAAACCCGGGTATAGGTTACTGGCCTCTTATCCCCATGTCGGGGTTTGGGGAAGACTACTCCCCCTCCCTTCTTCGCTTTGGCCATACTCGTTTTACTCATGGAATTCATGGAGAGGCGCCCTGCTCCCCTCTGTGAGAATTTGGGCCCAATTTTTCCTTTAAACAGTAAACCAAAATTCTGTTGGACTCCCCCATTTTTAATTCAACGACCCACCCCGAATTTACCTCCGGGGCGCTTGGGCCCGCGCTCTCTTTTCCCCCTTTCCCTTTTTGCTGGGGGCCCACCTTTCATCCAACTCTCTCTTTTAATTTTTTTACAACAACGGGACTGATTTCACAAATTCTGATACCTTAAAGCCCTTTTTACTTCAATCTCTTGCTCCCCCCTCTACCCCCGTCTATCCCCTGCCCTGCTTTTTTGGGGGTTACTACTGATCATCCCTCCTCCCTTCCCGCCATCCAATACCCTCGCCCCCCTTCCCTAACCCCGGGAGCCTGGGAAAAGCCCTTGTGGCTTAGGCTTCTTTTTTATTATAAAAAATATGTTTTTTTTCTATTTGCTGCAATTTTCACTTACTGCAAGGGGGCGGGGTCTAAATGCCTTTTAGAAACAAAGGGTCTTCCCTTTCTTTTGGGTTAACCTCCCTTGGGGAAATTGGGGGGTCTTGCTTTCCCGGGAATTGAAAATTGTCCCCCTTTGCCTTGGATCAAAATAATTTCTTTTCCCCTTCCGAAAGGCTGTATGACCCCTACGGGTTTTGCCTTCCCCCGAATTTTAAAATAAAAACATTTAGCTTCAATGGGGAAAACAGAGAATTTTAAAAACAAGATATTGGGTCAAGGCTGGAATTTAAACAAGTACCTGATAAAGTCCAGCTTGGTCAAACACATTGTAAATTAAAAGGGTTTTTTCTTCCACCACATCTTTATTCCCCCCTGGGGGACTTTTACCCCAAACCCACAAAAACCTATGGGAAATATCAATAGAAGTTTTGACCTTGTGAAATTCATATGTTGTGTTGATCTAACTCAGTCATAAATCAAGTCCCCCACTAAACCCAGAGTTTTTAAAATGAATACTACCAAACATATTTTTCAAGTTTAAGCTTAATTTTGTTTTACTAAAAAAATTTTTCAAAAGTGAGTTGCTGATACTGGGACTTTCCACTGAGGCCCCTTAGGGTCACAGAATAATCATATTGTGGATTTTAGAATTTATTTCTTAACAATAAAATTTTTAGTTTCAATTATCATAATTTGGGAAAAAATGAAAAATTTAATTTTTCCCTTAAAACAACATAATGTATCGCTACTGTCTAAAACACATGCGGGCACAGCCCTGTGCAGATATTTTTCTTTAAAAATAATGCAAATCCCTTTGTTTAAATTTTTCCCTTAAAAGGTTTTCTTTATTTTAAATTTTGTCTACAAGTAGCTGAATTACTTTTTTTTTAAAATTTGTTTAAAATGGCAAAATTTAAATTCGTTTAAAAAAAAAGAACTTAAAGGATCAAAAAAATTTTTACAATTAACACTGTTCATTCACAATAGTTACATTTCATATTTTTTACAAAAGGGGGGGACACTTTAATAATTTTACACT